AGCTCCTGACTAACTGGCATGACTTAAACAGATCCCATTGTGCCCACACCCATGCTTTGGGAACACTTTCAGTTCCACTTCTCCAGAGCTCAGACTTTCTCTAATGGCTATTAATAACTAGCCCATCCTACTCCCATCAGCTGTCCTTGGGCCTTGATACCCTCCCAGTGAGACTACTAAAGAGGGCTAACTGGGTGAGTTAGCTGTATTCCACCTTGCTGGGCCACCAATCCCCTGCTTTAGGATCAGCCCCATTCACTCAGTCCCAAGGCTCACACCTTCTCTGCTAGCTAGTTAAAAACCTGTGCAGCTGATTCCCATTACCCTGACATGGGCCTAGGTTCCTTATCCCCCAAGCAAGTACCCAAGCAAGTACCCTGACTTGCTTGAGTGGAAGACCAACTAACTATTCATACCTGATCAGAAAGCAACCAAGCTACATCAATAATAAAAACAGAACCAAACCTCAACTTAACAAAGTCAGGCTAGAATTTTGTATCAGACAGAAAACTAACAAAATAAATCCATATGCCCAAGTTACAACAGAAATACTCAAATAATATGGAGAACTCCAGATAAAATTCTCACACCAAATTCCACTAGGCCTATAGAATTCTACAATGAGAACTACCCAAGGGAACCCCAAGACAGAGAATTTAAAAGAACAATCATAAACATAAAGAATTCAAGGATTTTAAAGAACACACAAAGAACTCACAAATAAAAGGAATAAATTCCTGACTGAAGTTCAAGAAACTACAAGTATACAGAGATTGAAATGATAACAATAATTTGGGATCTGAAAAGGGAATTCATGAAAGAGATACTGAAGAAAACTCAAGCTGAAATGAAGATGAAATTGAAAAACTCAATAAGCCAATTTGAAACAAGAGAAACCCTCACCAGCAGAATGAATGAAACGAAAAACAGAACACTGAGACTGGATGATACAGCTGAGGAATTATACTGCTCAAACAATGAATAAGAAAAAAAAACTACAATCACAAGAATGAAATACACAGGAAATGGGGGACACCATGAAAAGACCAAATCTATGCATTATAAGTGTAGAGGAAGAGGAGAATCTCAGGTCAATGGCATGACCATATCTTCAATAAGACTGTAGAAGAAAATCTCCCTAAAAATTAAGGAAAGACATACCCACATGGATACAAAAAGCACACAACCAAACAGACAGGACCAGAACAGAAACTCCCCACAGTATATCATACTAAAACCAATAAATGTACAGAACAAAGAGAGGGTACTAGGAGCTGCTGGAGAAAAAATCCATATAATAGAAAACCCTTCAGAATTACAGCTGACTTTTCATTGCAAACTACAAAAGCAAACCATAAGAGCCTGGAGCAAAGCATTCCAAGTTCTAAAAGATCATAGATGCCAATCCAGAATAGTTTACCAAGTAAAATTGTCTATCATAGTCAAAGGAGAAAGCAAAATCTTCCATGATACAAACAGGGCTAAAGGAATTCATGTCCATCAAACCAGTTCTACAGAGACTACTTGAAGCAATACAAAAGACTGAAGAAAGGAATGACCATACCCAAGAGACTACAGAAAGAAAAGAAATGAAGGTACAATCACGGAAACACAAAATAGAACTAAAAATA